ATATATATATATATATATATATTAAAGAATATAATACCCTTTGTTGTATCTTTACCTTTTTTTTTTGAAAAGCAAAGATATATTAATATATGGCACTAGGGGTGCCATGAACCCTATATATATACAGATAAAAATCTTGGTTAGATATAATATAATCAATTTGTCTATATTAGTGACTAACCACGCAAAAGAAATTACAATATGAAATCAACCCACGTGGGTCATAGGCTCATCTTCCCCTCAAAAGATACATTTCAGTTAATAGTAAGGAACATGTACTGTCCATTTGTCTCAATATTGTGATATATGGCAGGCCTAGAGTAAACATGGACCAGGGGTTTGAGCTCCACTGAGCATAACTATAATTGAAGTTTTTATACAATCTTAGCCATGTCCAAGTGACAGACGCAATATCTTGCACCAAATGTTTTGCATCAAATGTATGTCCCCTAAACACAACATTGTTTCTTGTCCTCCACGTAGTCCAGATGATTGCACACCATAGTACTTTTCACTTTTGGGCAACAACTTTTGATGGACTTAGGAAGGGTTCTGAAAATAGTGTTGCAAAATGTTGTCTGGTAGTACTGTTGTGATATCCCCCCACTTATAACACTCCTTCCATACATTATGTATGACTGGACAGAAGAAAAATGTATGTAGCATTATTTCAAGCTCTTGATTGTAGAATTTACACCTTGACTCCATTTCATTTAGAAGAACCTGTCTCTTTCTCAAATTATCGCAGGTAGCCAAACCATTCAATTGAAGTCTCCAAATGGTAATCGCTACCTTTGGAGGGATTGGAAGCCTCCAAATTTGGGTCATCATGTGATTTAGTTGTGATCCAGATCTCAAAAATTGAAGGATTGAGTACGCTGATTTAACAGAGTAGCTTCTATCCTCACCAACACTCCATATCTAGCCATCTTTCTGTTCTTTTTGCATATTGATAACTTGTATACGCTCTTCTAACTCATCCCGTAACTCTTGTTCCCAAATGAATAGGTTTCTTCTCCATTGTAGCTTCCAAGACCATGTATGTCCTTCCTATACTCCAGTTTGATATATGAATTTGTGTTTCTGGTTAGATATCAAGTATAGTCTTGGGAACATCTCAACTAAGCTCTCTTCAGCCAACCAATTATCTGTCCAAAATCTTGTTTGTTTTCCATTCCCAACTTTCCACTGTATATTATTAACAAACCACCGTGATGTTGTTCGACTGCCACATACCTTTCTAAGGTATTTCCACCAAATTGATTCATTAGGCTGATCTTCAACGACACACAACTTTTCCACTCCATCATACTTAGAGTCTAAAATCTGGCCCCACAGCTGATTCTTGTAGTGGAACAGATTCCATCGCCATTTTCCAAGTAAGGCATCATTAAACAACTCAATATTCTTAATTCCTAGTCCTCCTTGGTCCTTAGGTTTGCATATTTTTTCCCAACTCACCCACGAGATCTTTCAAATACCTTCTTCACCACCCCATAGAAAGTTTCTTTGAATTGCAACGACCTTCTGAATCACTTTCTTTGACATTTTGAAAATGGATATAAAGTACAGAGGCAATTCCGTGAGAACAGAGTTTATCAAACAAATTATGCCAACCATAGATAAAGATCTATGCTTCCATGGAGCAAGCTTTTTGTTGAATTTGTCCAGCAAAGGCATCCACATACTTTCCTTTCGTGGATTGTCACCAATAGGGATGCCATGGTACTTAAATGGCACTGTCATGATCCTATAGTTCAAGACTAAAGCATGCCTTAAGAACTCCACGTTCTCTACTCCTATCCCCCCAAAATTGCTCTTATGGAAGTTTACTTTCAAGCTTGAGACAGGTTCTAAACATCTAAGAATACATTTGATAGTTAAAACATTACCTTGAGTGACCTCTCCCACAAAAATGGTATCGTCGGCGTACTGTAGTATATTAACCTCCACCTGCCTCCCACCCACCTTATATCCAGTAAACATATTTTGTTGCACAACACTCCTCATTAGTCCCGCTAATCCCTCCGCTGCCACCACATAGAGGAAAGGAGCAAGGGGGTCCCTTTGCCTTAATCCCTTCTGAATTTGGAATTCTGTTGTCGCGCTACCATTCACCAAAATGGACACTTGGTTTGACCTAAGGCACTCCTTCATCCATCCAATCCACTTTGAACAAAAGTCGAGTCTTTGAAACATATAGAATAAGAATTCCCAGTTGATAGAGTCGTATGCCTTTTCAAAGTCTACCTTGAAGATAAAACACTTTCCTTTTCTTCTCTTCACCTCATCTACAAGTTCATTTGCAATTAAAGCACTGTGTAAAATGTTCCTCCCTTTTAGAAACGCACTTTGAGTATGATTAATAACTTCAGGTAGAATCTTCTTTAATCTGTTTGACAAAATTTTTGCTATGATCTTGTATATCACCCCAACTAGAGAAATCGGCCTAAAGTTTGA